TTTGTTTTCATTTTCCTTGAGTTTCTTTTTCAGCTCAGTCGTTCTTGATGGCCTGTGCACATATTTCCTCTTCCCGGTGCATTCGTAGGTCCAGTGTCCCATCTCCAAACACTTCTGGCAGCGCACATGTTGTTTGTTTGCCTCCCTGTATGTAACAACAAAGGCTAATATGAATGTAAATAAACATGGCTGCGGGTACATCTCTTTGCTGTCACATACAGTTGTGGTAAGAAGTTTACATCCACTCATCGTAGGTGTCAATGTCATGGTAAGTTTGGACTTTCAATTACTTTCTTGGATTCTTTTTCCCCCCCCTCTCTATCCCCACAAAGTGTCAAATGTATGCATACATACTTAAATATATACATACACTCCCTTAAATATAGGGATGGGTACCAGTATCCAGTGCCATTATGGCACGGTTCTGACATAAACGGTAGTAACCAGACCGAAAAGCAGCGCACATTTCGGTGCTTTTTTTTCCTGAGATGTCATACACTTTGGATTCTAGCCAATCATTTTACCTTTCCAAGGATAGTAGGCGGGCCCACGTACGTACGTTCTTTTATAGCAGAGCTACAGATTAAAAATGCCCAAGGTGACGCGGTCAAAGTCTGGCTGTACTTCACAGCAAAAGATGCAAACTCAGCAGCCTGCAGCAAGTGCTTTAAGGTGATACTGTGCAAAGGAGGTAACTCCTCGAATCTGATGAAACACCTGGCGACACATAGCGGGTTTTTTTTTGTTTTTTAACCTGGAGTTAGCAACATCTCCCAAGAACCCGAAGGGGAGAGTCCTGGCCCCTAGCCCTGCCAGTGTAGCAGAAATGACGATGGATGATGATGGCAGCATCAGCTCTGGGCGAGTAGCTTAATGTTGTTCGTGTGTAATTTACGTTAAGTACGCCAACAACGTTATTATATTAATGCATGTAAGGTGAACTAGCAAACACCATCGTAGTTACATGCGGCTGTCTTCTTGTTTGATGGCAGATACTCCCTTCACCTTGGCCAAAAAGGCTAAAATGACCAAAGAAAAAGTGGAAAACAGCTAAACGTGAGAGGTTTTTGGACAAAGTTTGTGTTTTTTTTTCTTCTATTGTTTAAGCACTGCTTCCAGCCAAGAGTGATACCATATGCCCTATAGCTGCAGAAAAGGCTGACATTTTTTTTTTTTTTGGTAAAAAAATAACAAACAAAACAGCTAAACATGATAGGTTTTTGGACAAAGTTTGTGTTCTCCATTCTTTAATCACCGGTTCGAGCACCGTTTAAGCACAGGCACCGTTTCAAAAGTACCGATTTGGCACCGGTATTGGATAAAACCTAAACGATACCTATCCCTACTTAAATATTTTAAAAAGTGGCATTGAAAGTTTCAGTGTCTTTTAACATGAAAGGCCAAGGCCTATTAACTTCTCATTAGTGATCATGACTGACTGCAAGTGGTAGTTTCTCTTTGCCAGCATAAAAAGGATTTGGCTTACAGCACTCACTAGGTTGAACTGTTCAAGCCCAAGGAACTTACTGAAGATCTACAGTAAAAAGGAGAATTCCAGTTTTACACAAACTGGGAAGTTGTATTGGAGGAATTTTATTCAAATGTGTCATCTAGGAACAACTGCGGAACCGCCAGCGCTTGATCCTGATGATGAACTGGAAACTGTTGGAACATCAGCATCACTGTCCACAGTGAAGCTAGTTTTACATTGACATAGACTGAGAGGGTCAAGGGCTGATCAAGCGAGAAGCCCCTGCTCCAAAATCAACACTTTCAAACTCAACTGAAATATGCTGCATCCCACATGGACAAGTGAAATGCTTTCTTGAGAAAGGTTTTATGGTCTAACGAGACAAAAAAAAAAAATTGGTGCTATTTGGCCAAAACCACAAGATGTATGTTTGGAGGAGTGAAGGTGAGGCTTTTAAACCTAAGAATAAGCATGGTGGTGGTAGCATCCTGCTCTCTGGCTGTTTTGGTGCAAGTGCTACCTGTACATTGCACAAAGGGGATGGAATAATGAAAAAGGAGGATTACTTCCAAATTCTTCAACTTCCCCTCAAATCAAGAACTAAACATTTGGAAGTTGGACACAATTAGATGTTCCAAATGTACAATGATCCTGAGCAAACATCAAAACTGTTTTTTGTTTTTGTTTTTTTTTTTTTAAATTGGGGGGGGGGGGGGCCAAAACTTCTGGAAAAGACCTTCCCAAGGCCCTGACCACAACCCTATTGAAAATTAAAAACCAGGTCAGTGCTAAGAAACCAACCAATTTAAATAAACTCTTACAAGTCTGCCAAGTAAAGTGCTCAAATATCCAGCCAAAAATCTGACAGTAGTTTATTGATGGCTACCAAATGTCTGGTTGAGGTGCAACTTGCTAGAAAGAACAGATCAAATAAATCATTAAAAGCCCCAAATTACCATGACCCCTTTGGACCACAACTGTAAATGTTAATAAACAAAGGTACAGCTTTGTAGTTGCTGAAGAAGTTGGAAGTTTTAACTTCATCAGTGCTTTAAAGGTGCTTTTTCTACAGTGAGTAAATATGCAGCGTATATGAAGATGGGCCGACCTCTTATTCCTATACGAATTTAAATGCTCATTAAAGAAAAACAATAATGAAAAGGAGCACCACCCTGCAGTTCTCCTTGCTCAAGATGAGATGAAATCATTTTCACGTATCAGAATAAGTTCCGGTGCAAACTTGAGACCGTGATAAATGGCTGGGGGGAAAAAAACGAGCACCAGCGGGACATTCCTGTGTTGCCTGTGTTACAATTCAATGCAAAAATATTTTCAACATTTCCTCACAGACACTAAAATGCGGCAAAAATCCGCCTGAATTTTATAAACAAGTGAGCGCAGAAACGTGACAGAGACCCGACATTTTATTTGTCGTTCTTGAAACAGATAGTGTGACAAAAGTGGCATTCACGGCGTCAACCAGCCTTGAACAGACACCCTCTACAAGAATAAATAAGCTAATAATGATGTGGAGCACAGAGAGGCGCGCTGGAGCTGCGTTCACTGTTCACCGGCCCCTGAGTCTGACACGGAGCTCGAGCAGCTCAACCTCGCTGCTGTTCAACAGCCTGTAGTACTCACGAATATACAAAACCCACAGCGCTACAGTCAATTAACAATATTATACTCACGCTTGCCTCCTGGCTATTAATCTATGCATGGGAGTCGCCATGTTGCAGGTTACTTTTTCTTCTTTGTTGGCGTTAAATAAGCGCGTATTTCCGGCCCAATCAACTCCGTTATCGCCTCCTATGGGTAAGGAATGTCTACTGCATGTATTTGTAATCATTAACATTTAATTCACAGCAGCCCTGACGTTTTGTGTGCTTTTTTTTTTAAATAATACTATGCAAAAGTCTTGAGCAACTCCTCATTTTTCTTGATATTTTGCTTATAAGGAACAGGATATTATTCTAAGTGTTCTTGAGCAATGGTTCTGCAGGCTTCCTGAATTCTGTCAAAGTTTTCCTTTGGACATTCGCTGTTATTTTCCCTCCGTTTCAGTCCAGTCTGTGTATGTAACCATTTCCGTAGGAATGTTTTGTTTTTGTTTAAGACACTTAACTCTGACCTATGAATCATTCAAACATACAAAAGCCATCTAAGTGATAAATGAGTATGGTGGCAATACAGATCAGACAATTAAAGACACAATTTCAAATTGTATGTCGTTACATTGTGATTGACAACTACAAAAAAGGCTCTCTTCGGCACATGAGAAGTATCTCAAAGTCATCCTTAAGAAACGGGACAAAATCCAGTAAAGACCTGACACTGGCCCTTCTCTTAATCCATCTACTGTTTGACGAAATGGTCTCAGTGAGTGTCAAGAAACCATTCTTAAGAATGGGAAACAGCCCGAGGTATGCTAAATTAGAAAAAAAAAGTGGTCTGAAAATCAGTATAATTTGAAATTTGTGAGTCAAATCATCATCAGTTTGTGCAGAAGAGGTCAGGAGAGACGTACAACTGTGAGTGTCTGTAGAATCTGTAAAACAAAATGCAGATATGAATCCCCTCCATCATGTAAATCTCATGGTGTTGGAGTTCTTGTTAAAACTGATAAATTATGACTGCAGAAAAGCACAGTCAGAGTTTGATCCTCCGTGCAATACAGTCTGGAAAGCATGACAGTGATACCAAACGCACTGCCAATACAGCAAAAGCATTATCCAAATATGTGTACAAACTCACAAACTCAGTTTTTTCTTGTATTTCCATTTGGTTTGAACATGTTTAAATATCTTGGTGCATTGATTTACTATGTTTCAAATAAAATATAAATGAATTAGAGTTTAGTGCAGTACTGTGATACATGTGATTCATTTATACTACATTAAAGGAAAAAATGTGCCTCACATAATAATGTTTCGTTTACAATCAGCATATAATGGCATATAAACATTCTGTTTATCATATTTCTCCCCAGCTTCTTATTTCCACTTTCTGTGGAAACAGTTACTGAGGTTAAGCATTCAGGTTTCTGTCACCAACACAGTGCACACTTTCAGCAGTCAAGTGTCACCACACCCACCTGCATTTACGATTTGTCAGAGCTGCGTTTACATGTCATCAGCTCTCTTCTCTGTTTCATAGATTCTTAAATAAATGACATTTTGTTTTTGCAAACCAAACCAAAAACGTTTTATGTCAGCTACTATTTTATACTAATTATTTATAATGATTGGTAATTTTATATCATGAAAATTACTAAGGAGAACGTATTTAAAAACTAATCTTTTTCAGTAACAACAACTTTAAAAATTGCTATGCTTTAGTTGTTTAGTTGTTTAGTTGATTTCACTTACTGTAAACCTTAAACTTGGAGTTTTTTTTTTTATTATTATTAAATAAGAAGAAATTTATGGAGCTTTCTCCCTACACCTCGACTGTTGGAGAACTGTCTTTCACGTGGATATGGAAAAGTCCAGAGAGCGCTAGAACCCTGTAAATCTCGCGATGTCTGCGGGCGAGACGGTAAAGCAGACCTTGCCGCTGCAGCCTGCCAGCACACATCAGAGACACCGGCAACAATCAGCGGTGTGGATTATGAGTAGAAGTATTTAAGATAGAGCAGCTTAACAACTTCACTTGACTGGAGCATCTTTTTTATGTTTTAAAATCTAGTTACAGGTTTATTTTCTTTACAGAAATCATACTGTATACAAAGATAAACCTAGGAGACATATATCGCTCAAGATGTCAGTGGTGGGATTTGACTTGGGCTTTCAAAGCTGCTATGTAGCTGTAGCCCGAGCTGGAGGAATCGAGACAATCGCCAATGAGTACAGCGACAGATGTACACCGTAAGTACCAAGTAAAATCTTATTATAGTTTGTGAAGGATAGCTACACAGGACAGGTTTTCATTTATAAGTGTTGTCTCACCTGTGTCACTGTAATACACGTGAACGCAACTTCTCTGCTTTCAGCGACCATTTGTGCTCATAGCTGGGAAATTGAACTGCTTTTCCGTGTAAGTTAGTGATACATTTCTGAGCCTGTCTATGGTGAGCATGGAACCATCTAGAAATTAACTCACAAGGCTCACACCGCCTTCCAAGACCGATTATGAAGCTAAGCAAGTTAGCTGAGCTCATAGTTTTATTAACGGTAATGACAGTTTGGAGAATTGGTGTGGCTTCGCCGGTTAAAACACGACCGGGCGGTGTTTGCCACCTGTCGTTTTTAAGTAGTTGTGCTTGTCTTCAAGGCGTAAACTCCGACCAACCGGTGTGCCCCGTGTGGCAAATTGTACGCCTTGCGTTATGCTCTGTACGATGACGACAGCGGCCAATCTCTTGTTGGAATATTCTAGCAAATTTTTATGTCTTTTAGCCTTTAATGTTTTAAACGGTGTAAGGTTCTATAGTATTTATTACATGAAAAACATATTGTTATCAGAAAGGTTTTTTAATATTGTTTGAATTCTGCTTATTTGGGTTCATGGCGCATTTTGTAATTCCATTAGTTAGATTTCAGTCATCGTGACTAATTTTTAAAGTCTTTACAGTATTTTCTACAATTTAGAATTCCCTCCCAAAGAGTATTAATAAAATGAAATAAGACCAGTTATTATATTGTAATTTATTTATAACGTTTGTATTAAACAGGGAAAGAAAAAGATAAGCATTAACGCCCAATTTATGCTTAGATGTGCACCTACTAGTCAGAAAGTCAGAAAAATTTAATATAATATATATAAAATGGGTTTTATGTCATGGTTATATGAAATATGTATACATCATTAAGTTGCTGAAGATACTTTATTGTGAATCAACCTGGACTTTTTAAAAATTATTTAATTTTATTCAAATTTACAAGGCAAACATGTGTCAGAGAAGTAGATCACGTATAAGATAA